GACATACTGGTCCTCGAAGTTCAGGAAGTTAATTGCGCAACTACGTGGTACTTTGACAGAGAACATTCTCTTAGAGTTTCAGCTTTCCAGCTTCCCGAGTTAGTAGTTCTCCTGCCAAAAATTTTCATAGGCCAGTACGTAAGAACTATGCAAACTTGAGGGCTGAATTTGAACACTTAAAGCTCTACATGGGCTAGGACAATCAGATTAAAACTTCAGCCTTCCAGCGTTTTTAGGTCCTGGGTTAGCAATCTTCTCATCAAAACCTTTATGCGGTCATGCGCGGGGATTAAACTTGCGTGAGGACTGGTACCGCATTCCTAAGGTGGCACTTGGCCGGGAAACCCACTGGCAAAATTTCGGCGCCGAAGCTTGCTTGGTTGCCGAGTTGAAATAATCGGATAGACGCACGCACACACACATACACACACACGTACGCAAATATGCACGTACACGTAGCAAACATGCACACACACAAACACACACACCATAGGTCATCACAACATGCGTTTTTGTGTTTGCATATATGCAAAGACGCATAACATGCTATGGTCACAAGTTTTTGTGAAAAAATTAAGAAAATCTGCACTAGAAAGAGAAAATGAATTGGTCACAATAACATAAATTAAAAACCAATGTATGAGTTAACATCCATTCGAGACATATTTATATACCTGCTGAGTGAGAGGCACAAAACAGATGCGGAAATTCGTGCAGTAAAGTTTGCCGAAATAATTCTCCTCGAACGGTGGATAGAGAAGTACATCATCACATTGCGATGAAATAATTTCACCTGAAAATAGACTCAAAAATCACTCGCCTCAATTGGTTCTTAATCGAACCGACGATCTATTGCAGGCCGTAGGTGATACCCAAAAGCGCGGGAACACTGAATTTGAATAGGCAGGGTCGAGCGTGGGCAGGGGGTCATTATTCTAAAATTTCAGCCTGCTAGACTCCGTGGTTCCTGAGATATTAATTTATCGGTAAAAGTACACGAAAAAAATTTTAGCAAAAAATGATTCCAGCTTTATATCATTACCAAATATACCGAGATTACCAGGACAGTGGGCGTGGGGATTCCATATACGCTATATTTTTGAGATACTTTCACAAAACGAGCATAGTTATGCTAGGTTCATCAATCCTCAGCGCATATTTCTAGTACTGAGCATTTAATAAAATTCGGTCGCGACTTGCTTGGCCAGGTTCGTGGGCAAGTTGCGATAATGTCGCGCCTTCCAAGATGGTGAGATAAGGATAAAGGCGGCTGAGAAAAACAAAAAAAAAAGAAACGATAACTTAGATTTCAACGTCCGTAACAGTGGGGAGAAGAATGGAGCACTGTCAGGAAACGAGTCGAGATTTTGCTTAAAGGTAGGAATTGGAGAAAGAGGCAAAAATTACAATTTTTGGGTTAATGTTGCAAAGCAAGAAAGTGGACGCTGAGTGAAAGCCGGTAAGCTTGTGCCTAGAATCTTACTGTAATAAAAAAATCCACTACACTGTAGGAAAATAATTCATGCCCCCCCCCCCAGCCCCTCCAAAACGAGTGCATTTTGCGTGGTTGGACCAACTTAATGCTCAATCTTAGCAATCATACTGAAGTTTATGCCAAGTTTAATTATTCCTTTTTCATTTAATTCGACACAATTCCAATTCACATAATTGCAAAAAAAAAAAAAATTACCATTCAGAAGGGCAAAATCCGGTGCATCTCCGCCATTTTTCACCTGTAAGTAGCAGAAGGTACGGTGGAGAAAACAGAAAAATAATAATGGCACGATCAGAAATGTTTAGCTTCGCTGTAAATTAACTCTCATATTTCAACAAAAAGATCGTGATACCGAAAGTTCTGCCTTTTTTGCTTGATCATGGTATTTTTCCCACCCTTTCTGAACTCATTTTTTTGTGGACGCTCTTTTTGTTGTGTCTGCTGTTCGTTCCTAATATATACTTTAAACTTAAAAAACAATATCCCTGGCACTGTTCAATCCTGTTACAACTCATCACTTCCAAACTGATTACAATATGTTGACGGTGAAATTAAATGCTCCTCCTTATCACACCCCGGGAATTGTACCCTCAAAAGGGAGCAGATAATACTCTACATACCAGGGGCATCTGGAAACGGCTAAAACTC